GAGTTAAATATTTTTGCATATTTCCTTTTCGGGCTATTTAGAATGCGGTGCGGTGGTGCGGTTATGGTGCGACAAGAGCGCTGCATGCGTTGATAACTAGATGACAAACAGATGGACCCCGAGCGTGACATCGTTGTCCCGCCGTGACGACGTCACGCAAGTCACGTGACGCACAATATGTTTAATTTTAGATGCAATCGTTGTCTTGCGACGGGCTATCATGCTGTGACGTCACAAATGGGATATTAACTAAAATAAGGACACTACTATCAATTGATGTCAGTATTATATTAGACAATGATTAATGCAAATTATTAACTACACAATAGACTTATTGAATCGAAATTTAATATTAAAATTTAGAATTATTATAATATTAATAAAGTTTTGTAGCAATTCCATAAAGTAATATTCATGATTACAACAATATATAATAGAAAGTCTATATATATCTAGATAGTGCAAAATAATTTAAAACTTTTATCTTATATGTGAAACAGCTGAAGGTTATCCTCATTTAATTTTACAATCACATGTCGTAGGTCGTAAACAAAACGAGACGATCCTGTGAGCCAGGCCGGCGCGTTCCCAGACATGCCCGGCATTAATTGTCACTACCCGGATGTCACTCTGCAGGTGTAGCCATGGAAAGATACATAGAGTAACAGAGATTTTAAACGTTTATATTTTTAACTTTTTAAACATCTGAACTGTTCTTTGTTCAACATGATTTTCTATGGAATTTGATATCTTCACTCTTTATGATATTTTATATGATATTTTCATGATAGGAAAATGCCAACAGATTTTCCTATCATGAAGTTTTAGTTTTAACCAATTTTTCTGGAACCTAATTTATTAATTATATTATACAAAATACAATATATTCAAAACAATTTTTTATTTTAGTACGAGTTAAATACAAAACCTCTACTACCTATGTCTTATAACTATGTATTCATTCAACTGCAACTTCAATGATCACGTATATTATATAATTTTTACAAATATTTACATGCTGCATAATATCGTTCAGTTATTATAAAGATAGTATCGTATACTGCTGATATCTCAAGGAAACGAACCTTCGTGTTACGTCGCTATTAAAGAAACATTACTCGTGCTACTTACGTGCCAAATAACTTTGCACTTTATCAGCAAAGTAGAAAGTTCCAATTCAAACCACAAACAACCAACAGATGAGCAAATTTCTTTTTTAATTAAAGTACTTTGTGCTCGAGTAGATAAAGTTCAGTTTGCAATACAGTTGCGGATACAATGTGTAATACGGGGCAGAGTACAGGGTGTTCCCACGACGGCGACACACATGGTGTTCGCTGCATTGTTGACTACTGAGAAACTGTCTCGCAGCGAGCTGATTGTACACTATTGTTTTTTTACAGCGCAGTAAAAGCTGCTGAGAGAATGTCTTGCAGATGAAAGGCTTTTTACCATTTTAAATTAATAATAAAAATAATTATAGTCTTATCATGTGACGATTAACTGCAAATGAATTAAGACAATAACATGAGCTTTCTAAATTTCATCAGCTTTCAGATCTATTTATTCAGAACGTTTAAATAAAGACCAGTGTAAGCGTGCCTTATGATAATCCGAGATATCTGACTACTGTTGAGTAATTATTGTGAAAAGTTGGAGAATCTATAGAGAAATCTTTTTTCATATTTTACAAGAATGACAAAAGTATTGTCATTCTTCAGACAACTGTTATACATGAATATATTGTCAGCAGTAGGTGGATGCGCACTGTGATGGTGGGTGTGAGTTTCACTACAAGTAGAAAGGCTTTCAGAGCAATAATGGCAGGAAGTGACGTCGCATTTCCGGCTGCATGTGTGGTCCGCGAGTGTACTATACTGATCGTTTTCAACACGTAACTTTAAGTAGAAAATCTTTGGCTCTTAGCCAATTTGTCAAGATTTTGTTAATGATAAAAAATGGCAACCTAATTAATCATTATTAATGATAAAAAGTACTTAAAATGTAAATAAAGTTTGTAAAACCACATAAATCAAATAAGTCACAGAAGTATGTCTTGTTCACACCGAAATGTAGGGTCACTGTCTCCTTCAAATATCCGCAAATAATAGACAATATGAAACAAACTAATTATTACTTTCATCTAATTAAAAAGCAATTATGTTTTATTAGCAGCACGGAAGAGTTAATGAGAAAGTGCACGGCAGTTTGTGGGCGGAGATGGTATTGTTTCAGGGAACACCATCTGACGGCAGCGATTGTCGTGAGATCAAGAGATTGTTGGATCAATGAACTATTTATTTGCATAATAGATAATTTTACAATGTATTTGTTTACATTACTGTTTGACCACGACCATGACGATTTGTTTAAAAGATTACTTACACGCAAGGCAAGATTTAGAGTCAGTAACAACTTCGTAAAGTGACGGGAATTCTGGAAATTTGCTCTTATCCTCTGTTGCAAAATCACCAAAGCTCCAACCGCTCTGTTCGGTCTTCCAAATACCATTGCACGCTTATAAAGAAAAATATTTTTATTTAAAAAGACTCTTTAATTCATCTTTAGCAATTTCAAGTTTGTAAAATAATACATTATACTTAACAATTAAAATACAATGACAGTAAAATTAACAAAATTTATTAATTAGACAATTGACAAGTTAATGACAATCGCACAGACATCAGACATTGACCTATAGAAAAAACCACTAAAACAATAGACCTAGAGAAATCTCAGACACAATGAATAGAAAGAGCCGGTGATTTGGTGGCCAATTTTGATAAATTTAAACGTGGCTTTCATTGGACACGAGCAAACAATATCAAATAACCTCCCAAATAGCACGGTTCCCATCTTTGTGGTCGCTCGCGAACAATTGAGACGGCACCAACTATCTCAGTCGGCCATCTTGGATCAGTGTCAGCACTAATTAATAAACTTTAAAGTTAATAAGGCTCCTGAGAGAAGCGCAAACAGACAATGCAAAAAGCAATTCATTGTCATATCTACAATTAAGTTCCCATAAAGTCAAGGAATTTGTTTTTTTTTAAATAAAGGCTTAAGAATTAAGATAATACGACGGATTTTTGAAGGCACAAAGCTTATTGCATAAATGTACGAGTATTAGATTTCTACTGCATCTGAACGCGACACCATGCTATTGTGGTAAGAATGGGCGGATCGTTAAATTCATTTTCATATATATTTCCAAACGGAGCAAGTTTACTGCACCTTAACAGTGCAAAAAATCTTTTAGTTTACTTTGCAAATATTCTCACGTATTAAATTCGGTTGCTTCCTTACGTTTGTGTACTGAGCTACCGGGTGACAGGAAGCAAGTGATGAAGGGGAGCGTTATCTGTCTCTATTGACACATCGACGTTATCGAAGTGTTGGAAATTCGGTGATTTAAGTGCTGAAAGATTGGTTTATCTGCCGTGACCTCGGGAGTATGTTGACTGCGGGCTTGACGACTTACTACTACTAACTACTCGATTCAAAAATATATACTGAAATCAGACCTAAATAAATTCACAGAAAAATTACCAATTTTAAAGGTTTATCCTATATGACTTCAATGCTGTCAAAAAAAAGTTCATTTAATACCTTTATCATGTAAACTCTTCAAAAACCACCACTAGTTTACCTATTATGTGCCAATCGAACCCATATTTTGCTATTTCCAATGGAAGGCAATGCAATTTGTATCCTGAGTTCCATTTAATAATTTAACAGTCAGGATTACTGATGAGCTGTTCCACAAAGTATATCACATATTGACAAACCGGCACACATCTACCCGCATTCAGTCGTAACTAATGAAGCAAAAATGTGCCGTTGTGTAGAAAGCAATTATGTGTCATATACGTTTTCACTTTTCCCTCCATCAGCAATATAATGAGTTATTTCCATTTTTCTCTGTATCTGTCATCGTGGGAAACTATTTGATACATTAAGATGGATGAGAAGTGAATTATAACTTGGTAGATTAAAACAGTCCAAGGTTTAGGGTTATACAAATAATTTGTCCAATCCAAGATTTATATTCTAAAAAGTCTACATTACACTGAGCCTTAAATTATGGTTAAGTTTTAACTTATACCTACTAATATGTATTTTATAATTGTCATCAAGTGTTCGCTTTCACCCCATATCAATGACCGAAGTGAAAACATTCAACATTGTATGTTTATTGTTATCGGCACATCTGCGGAACAATTTGCGGACCACACGACAATAATCGTGGATAAGTATAGAATACAATTGCGCTAGTAAAGTTATAGATGACAATGATATGGCCGCTGATTGTAGTGTCCAAGTAAAATAATAATTTAGATTTTCCATATTTATTCCGCTATAAATATTGCTTTTACATTAATTAAAAATTGTCAATACATTTTCTGTTCCAAGACGAATGCATCCAGGATTTTGGGAGTTTGGTTTCTTCTCGAGGAAGTTTTATACAAATTGATTTAGATGTATTCCATTAGTATTTACAGTAACAGTAACTATGTCCAACAGCGTATAAGAAGTTAATATCATTAAAACATTTCAAACAATAAAATGTCGCAAAACATTACGAGCTCATGATGAATGTTTCAACAATATTTCGTTGCTCTTTAACAATACATAATAAAATGATACAATAAAGCATTGGTACAATTGACCCGCACCTCTATTGTATTGCCAAACAATCATACTCTCCTCGACAATCTTGGTTTCTAATTTCTACAACTTAACATCAACTGCGCAATTGCGTTTCCAAATACTACTTTAAAATACCACTCTTAAAAATTACCTGGTACTTAAATTTAAATAAATCATTATCATCTTAAACAGATTAACCTTTTTTCTCACTTGTTTTCAAGTTAAAAACAAGATTTTTGGCACAGGATCTTAAGATAACCCAAAAATTGCTAACACAAAGAGTAATATCTAGAGAGACTTCTAAGGAGTTCTTCCATTTGTCAGATGTGTTAAATAATATTGGTACTTACAGTGCGGTGCGATAGGTCGCCGACAGAGTCGTGGCGCTGCTCGAGGCTTCCAAGGCTGCAGCAGGATGTGGTGGAAGCCAGGCTGACGGAGTCTGCGCGTGCGCGGTGCGGCGACACCGCCACGTGCTTTAACATCTCTGCACCTGCAAAGACAAAACAAAATAAAAACATTATACAGCTACTGTAGTAGATTTTTTTTGCAATTCTGGTGACCCAGATTACTGTTATAATTTTTACGAAATTATTGCCATTGGTACTTGATAAATGTACAAAATTTCAAATTAGTATAATATATCTAAATGTTGGTAAAACTCATAAAAAATATTAATCGGTTTGAGTAACTCCTTCTTTTTGAAGTCTATGACAAATATCTACAGTTCGAGAGCGTAGTGTTACAATTACTTAACTCGCAAGCACTACATAACTTATTACTTAAGTCAATAAATGAAAGTTGGTGAGCTTCAAGTAACACCCAAAGTGGTAAGGACATGTCAGGGAACAAGTTCCGACACACTAATTGCATCTTTACATAAACCGACAGAGGAAAGCAACATCTACATACGAACAACTTAAAGTAGACAAACTACAAACTCAGCCTATAAAATCTTCCCAATTGATTTTTTTTGAAAACAATTTACTTGGTTCTCTAACATTAAAAAGAAAAATTGGAATCTTATGTTAATTGCCAACCCTAGAACTAAATAAAAACCACATAAAAAGTTTTCTGTTAGCGTAAGCTACAAGCGCACGTGCTCTTCCATTAGCGCATAAAACGCTCTGTTTGTTCAGGCCCTACGATTCTCAGAACACAGTACCTGCTAGACTTTACTGTTGTTTTTAGACTGGCCGCTGGTCACGGTTTTAATGGACCACAATTGTATCTCATATACATGTTCATCCTGTTTTAAATAGATACGAACCAAAATACGTATGTACGATGGTATGTTCGCAGTTGTGAATATATTTTTTTTCAAGGTCACTGTCAACTTAAAAGCACTTTTGTAGTCATTATGCTCACTTTTGCTGTCAACATGCTATAAACGTTTTTAATTTAACAACAATGTAGATAAACAAATGTAATCATGAAGTAACGATGTCATTGTATTACAACAAATTACATTTGTGATGTCTCATCAATCAGTATCGCGGCTGACTTCTGTCGTGTGGCTAATTGTATAGAATCGACCTCGTTTATTACATACGAATAACTAATGGTTCATACGATTTGAATCCTACTATAATAACAATACCTAATTTTAATAAATGCACGTTACAATCTGCATCATTTTCTATCTATAGATTTATTTTCTTTGGAATAGAATAACGGATTATGTTTGAACGGATTTAAAGATTTTTTTTACGTCATTCTTTTAAAGCAAGTTATCGTAATAATGAAATATACTTAGGTAACTCCAGACACGACCATCTAGTTCATGATATAAATAGGTGGTGGTAGGTAGGTGCAACTAGATGCATAGTTTCGCTCGGACCGGATCAATAAAGTCCTTCCGCTGTTACACCGTTGCGTCGTTACGCGAGGTCGACTGCTCAATATTCTACCGATCATCGCGTTAATTGAAACAAATGAATATCAATGATCATAGATACGATGCGGTGTGATACGCTGCTGATATTAACGTGAAAATTATTCGCAAAGAGGTAAAGTTGGGCTGTTAGTATAGCGACTAGGCTTTTGCATTAACTCTTATATTAAGTGACCAGGATCCTTGGTGTTATCCGATACTTTCTTTTAAAGTAGAAATATAACGATAAAAATTTAATGACCAACAGACTGGTACTAACTACTACATCCGTAATAATTAAACATTTAAATATAATGCTATTGGTAATTGCGAAAGTTTAAAATGACGACAAATGTATAAAACAAAAAAAAAATTGTAACATTTTTTAATTTCACAATACTTTAACAATGTTAATCTCGTTTTGTATTTCATCAATTAATAAAAATAAATAATTATTTTCAATAATCATATTCAATATCGTATTTGTATGATATTCGTCACATTCCCAGATCACATAACCTAGTTTCGCAAATATTTGCATCAAGTGCGGACGTCGTCACCGCTGACCTTCCGCCGCGACGGAAAATATCCATATCCATTTCATCATGAAGATTTCCTTCACAAGTTGCGAATATCATTTGAAAATACAAGATAATTTTCACACGCTAAATCATTTGAATTTGAATACTAAAAGTGCAACGCGTCAACGATTTCCTCTTGTTTTTGTAATTCATGAGTTTAACAGAACCAAAATTATACGTAATTTTCTTAATGTTACATTAAAGTAACTAAAGATTGTCAAATAATTAAAACTTCAGCAAGACCGGAAGCGTTGTCAGTCTAATGTGATTCCCTTTAACCACATGTTCCTTATAAAACAAACAAAACCTTAATCTAACCGAGTTAATCGACAAACATTGGAGCAAACGTAAACAATGAAAATATGTGAACTGGCGAACATTTGATCAAATAAGCTAACACAAAATCTTCTCGTAGATGTGCAGTACAGCTGGACAACTTACGCAATGCTGAACCCGGAAACTTGTGAGGGTTTACATTGTTAAAATAAATTGACTTTTAAAATTCCTAGGCAACCGCAAAGGAGTAACGTGGGCAGAAATGTTCCAATAAAATCCAATTTGATAAAACTTGTATTATAGCTCAGTATGTATTTATTATACCCATGTAGATATAAAATTGCATAATTTTTTGTTTACTACGAATTACACCGTATTCAGGAGAGTCCATGCAAAAATAATCGCCATAATTTTTGTGATAAAAATATTCATACATATGTATCACTTCAAGTTCAAGAAGAGTTTTATATTTGCAGATAATTAATTGAATATAATTTATACATGAGTCTAAGGTGACTGTGATGCACTACTGAGGTCAGTGTTGCGATAAACATATCTACAGCAACCACACTATTTACAAAATGTAGCGAAACTTATTTATAAATTCCGATTCAAACAAAACTTTACGACATATTACAAGAAATGTTTACTCTTACATGGTTACCCTACACTGACTAAAAGGGTGACCATGCGATGCGGTATACTGCTTTTTTCTATGTTATGTATCTCGTTGTAGTTAATACGATTGCAATTTTCCGCCACAGAGTAATTTATGTTAGCATCGAGTAGTTAACTACCGGTCAAAGTATCGTCGTGTCGGCCAGTACCGCCACAGCAAATTGCTCTAATACACTGCCCTATTTGTGATAACTATGATTGTTCTTATCCTCTAAGCCACATTCCTTTGTATAACTACTCTCTTCTTTGTCCCGCACACCATTACCAACGTCCTAACGTTTTACATGAGCAAGACTCGTGTACCCTTGAATGTGTGCAGCCCTACAGCAGCAATTGGACATATTTACAAATAGAGAACAAAGGGCTGCACCGCACATTAGCGGAATCGACATTGAGCCAGACGATCGGGCAAACAAACAAACACGCAGTCGCGTCAGTCGGAAATGAGCGTCAATGTGAACGCAGTCTGGACGCCGCACTGTTATGCTGACACATTCCTGACGCTCACGGTCGTTAATACTTATGCTATGCATCCACAACTATCATTAAAAGATTGATTAATATTGTAAGGTTTTTCGAATGATTGTGTTAAGTAATGAATCTGATCAAGGTCAACCCGTCCTCCCCCCGAGGTATCTTTTGAAGATACAAAAAAGTTAAGAAGCATCAATTTACATATCAATTAGTGCTGAGGATTAAATTAACTCTTAAAAAAAGATTTTAAGCTGGTTTTACAAAGTCTACATTTCCACCGGTTTTGAAGGAGACCAAGTGCCTAGTGTATGTAGCAATAACTATAGTAGAAACAGGATAGAAAACAAAATGTTACTATATTACAAAATATTAATTAGTTATAATAAAAAGTTACTTTCTATTTAGGTTTTAAAAGAAAGGATGTGCTTTCATCGAAAAATCCAATTTACGATTATAATTTCAAGAACTGAACGGCGCGTGTAATTAAAATCCCAAGTATTGACGGAAGCTGTTAGTGGACCGGAATGCGGGTAGTGCGCTCTCAGATAAACATTTCGTTGATACTGATCAACATTTTATTGAAGGCGCCGTCTCCATCACACTTATAGATAATACTAATAATGATAATGGTTCATTTAACTAGACAAAGTCGTCAGCAAATGCTGAAATAAACTAACTCCGAATACTGTCTTTAAATTAATAATATGAAGAGATAAGTAGAAGTAGGCTTAGGGAAGAGCATGGAACAGCAAATGCGAGTGGCATAAAAATAGGTAGATTACTGATAACTCCATAGCCAAGTCTTTTCCTATTTAACAACTAGCAAGTTGTAGAATAAATTAAGAGTTATACTTCAACTTCCTTGGCTTGTATAATTGTTGTACAATTAGCCATTACTTCCGCGCCTCGTTAACTTATTATCAAAGAACATGTTTATGCCTCACAACACAATCGTTACGATGATACGTAAACGTAGTAGTAGCGTGTAATATACGACGATTAGGTAATCAGTTCCTTATTTATTCGATCTTTTATAAAACATATGAAGGAAGCAAAGATTATAAAACATCAGTTTAGGTATATCATAATGTTTGTTGTGTTCTGTTGTAAAAATGTAACTCTATAGCTGTCGTAATTAATAAAACTTAATAAGTAGCCTACGTTTTCTTCCAGACTATTGTCTAAATCTGTAAAATATCATCAAGATACGTTGTGCAGGTCTGGAAATACCTAACAAACATCCATCTACATTCATCCGTAAATCCATATAAACATTTGCATTTACGTTCCTTAAAATTTAAACATCTTGTTTTCATAATACTACTTATAGTATTGTACTATCTGTAATAATAACATAACATTAACCAGTTCAGCAAATTGTTGCGAGTAACCACAGAATGTCGAATGTCGCAGGTGGCAGCCCTACACACCAAGGTTATAAATAAACCCCAAAGACCGCGAAGGCTCCACCGCCATTGTGCGCGCTGCGGTGAACGACGTGCGAATACAATCCCACTTTGAACGTTTTCAGGGTTGACAAAACTTCAAACACATCATTACATAACCTTAATTTATTACAAAGCCACAAATGTTACAGCAAGCGATTGAACT